CCCCATCAACAATTAAAAATACCCCATAAATAATTAAAATAAATTAATCCATTAAAAATCAGGTATAAAAAACAAACCCTGTACATAAATACTAAAAACTTTCAAGATGATGGTGGGGGGCAAGGTCAATCACCCCACAAGCCATCTCCACTGGTGCGAGCCCCCATCCAGCCCCAGACCTTCTGGCACAGCCAGGATTTCAGCCCTTTCCTGAAGGCCATGAGGGTGGGGGCACACCAGACCATGGGAGGCAGATTGTTCCATAGGGCGGGGGCTACAGCAGAAAAGGCCCTCTGCCTAGACCCCACCAGTCGAAATTCCTTGACTGGCGGGATCTACAACATGCCCCTTCTGCTGGACTGAGTGGGGCGGGCTGAAGTAACCAGGGCGAGATGTCTCCTCAGATAACCTTATTTAAGTTTTAAGTCTTAGCAGGACAAATGTCCCCAAGATTTTGAGTAACTGATGTCAGACTTTATCCAGAAGAGTGATAGACCCAGCCAATGCAGGTCTACTCATAAGCCAGTGCCACCAAGATCAGTGGGGCTTACTCCAGGTCGGGGTGCATATCACTGGATCCTGAGTGTGTTTATCTTGGTGGACCTTAAGTTCTATGGGCTACCTTATTCTCAAATGAAGCTCATGTCTGTGACAACCTTTTCTGCTTGGCTACCTCTGGAAATGTTAGGGCTACAGATGCCAGCAGTCATGCTGAACTAGACATTCTGAGAATTGCAATCCCACTGAGGGTGGCAAGTGTAAATTTGGGAAAGGAGAGAGGTGGCTTTATCCAACACTGTAGTAAGAGCTTGTTTTAATACTGCTAAACCATCCAGTTTGTTGTTCTTGCCATTTTTTAAAATCTTTTTTTTTAATGGGTTCTATTGTAATTTCCTTGTTTTGCTTGTTGTGAGCCACCCAGAGTCATTGGCATACAAGTTTGATAAATAAATAAATTAATTAAATAAACAAACAAACATACACATACCTCATTTGCATACAGCAATAAAAATAGCACCCAAAACCAACATTTAGGAAGACAATTTGAAAATTGTTATTGTCTGGTGTGTTTGGATTTTTTTTACATGGCTCTCTGACTTACCACAAAGGCTCAAGAGTTCATTATTGTCAGGAACCTGGCATTCTAGAGAAATGAGATGGCAGGGAGCTTCAGCCTCAGTTAGTGTTTAAATTGGAAGCATGATTAATGCACGGACCGAGATAGAGTCAGATATAATAGAATCATAGAAGGATGGAATTGGAAGGGACTGCCTAGAACATCTAGACCAAAGTGCAGGAAAACAAGTTCAACTATCCTCAATATTCTTCTTAAAAACTTCCAGAGATGGGGAACTATCTTACTCTCAGGAAGCTTTTCGATGTACACACACACATACACACACATCCTCTACCTATGGCCTAGTAGTGTTCACCAGTAGGTAGGGCTACCATTTGTGGATTGCAAGATACAGATTACCATTTAGATATCAAGCCCTCTAGGGAGACCAGATCATGAAATCAGCTCCAGAGAAAGGCTAAAACTCCTTTAATTGAGATTGGCTCTCTAATAACAGAATCTTACAGGTCTGAATCTTACTGTGCTGAACCTCCTCCTCCTCCTTCTAGTTCAGGAATTAGGGGAGCATCTGCATAAGCCATTTTTGGATGTTATCTTGTTCTGGACTCAAAAAATGCTTCAGCCTCTTTTGGCTAGGCAACAGCTCCAGCATATCTCCACCAAGATCATCTTCTTTACTCTCTACACTAGATGACAAAGAGTTAGCGACTTCTGTATATTCTTGCTGCCATCAGTGGTCAACTGATTTTTGCAGTCCAAAAATGTCAGCTCTGCTACTCTGTGCATGTGAAGGTCACCTCAGGAACGCTTTCCTCAAGGTCAGCTCAAGCATCACATTGACCTGCAGTCTGTACCATTAATGAGTTGGTGCCCCGTTGCTCTTCTGCAGAAAGGCCAAAGAAAACAAAGTGCAGAAGCATTCACGAGGCTGTCAAAACTGGGAACATAAAACAACTGAGTGATATGGTGGCCTTTGGCATCAGCATTAATGAGGTGGATCCAGTCTATAAGTTTACACCTTTGCACTGGGCAGCCCATTCTGGAAGCCTGGAGGTAAGAGATGATCCAAGGTGGCACTGTATTCTTTCTAATTGAAGAGCATGAATGAATGAATGAATGAATGAATGAATGAATGAATGAATGAATGCTTACATAAAGAAATGAATAGTCTATATTAGTCCCACTAAAGCCCAGTCACTGACCTTGGCTGGTCTTAAAACTTGAGCAGAATCAGATCTAGTTGGTATTTGAATGGGAGATCATCAAATGCATTTCAGGATTGTAAACTAGAAGGAGGGGAAAAGTCCCAGGAGAAGACAATAGCATTTCACTTCTGCTCCATTACCAAGAAAACTACATAAACATGTTGATGAAATCACCAAGACTTGCCTTAGTTTAAATTTAACAGACTTTTTCCTTATTCATGAGAAAAGGACAATGCCTTTTATGGAGGACACTTACTGCTTTCAACTGAACACAATTATAGCCCCTTTTTAGACTATCAACAATGGAAAATCTGGGGTAGAAGGACGGGGTGCCCTTCAAAGCTTCTGTTTCTTCCTAACCTGGTTACTGAATGTATTGATTTGGTATGCTGAAACCTAAGCAAACCAAATGGGTGATGTTCTCACAACTGGCTCACCCCGAGAAGGAAGTTAAGCAAGCTTAGCCTATTGTGCAATGCAGCCAGTAGGTCTTTAACTGACCTGGTTAATCATGTAGTGTATAAAACAGCTGATGTTGCTAAGCAATGTAGAAATGAATTGACAAATAGAGAGAGTATCAGAGACTCAAAGTGTGTGTTCTCGTTTGCTAGTGCCTTCACTGGCTTCTTTGGCATGGAGCTGATCAGACCGCAGTGACAGTGCGAGGATGGACAGGACCTCATTTGGCTGCGATTAGAGGCCAAGATGCCTGCATGCAGGTGAGTGTCCCCACTTAATCCAGTTTGAGGATTAAACTGGTTTAATTCAAAATCAGGATTTATTTGGACAGAAGGGGCATCTTTGTTCCATATTTCTGGGACAGATACTCTACATTTCTTTTACAATCCTGCTGTCAGCTAGCAATTATTTATTGGTTAGAGCAGTGTTTCTCAACCTTGGTGGCTTTAAGATGTGTGGACTTCAACTCCCAGAATTCCCCAGCCAGCATGCTGGCTGGGG